GATCTGGAGGGACGAGGCGGGGTACTCTGGTCCCGACCCCGCGACGAGCAGGGGCTCCTTTATGACCGCGGCCGTGAGCTGGTGGCCTGCTTCGTCAGCCAGCGTGCTCGTGCTGCGGCAGTCCCTCCTGTCCGCCGATAAGGAGATGGAGGTGCGAGCCCCACCCTGCGGACCTGGACGCCGGGCCCAGGAAGTTTCATTGACAGAAGTCATTCGTTAGGTGGGACAGGGTCGCTTCATTTAAGATCCTTTGTTTTAAAAGTGAACTTTAGGGGTATTTAAAGTTCTGTTACACAAATGAAGGAGGTATCCGGAAAAATCTGAAGAGCTATATAGTTGAGGTTCTGAAATGTTAATTGTTTTGGTGTTTATTTCAAAAACTTGTTTTCTGACAGCTTGTACTGGTGGGAGATGGTGGTACTGGGAAAACTACCTTCGTGAAACGCCACCTGACTGGTGAATTTGAGAAGAAGTATGTAGGTATGTGGGGAAGGCCAGTTGTGAAGCTGTGTGTGACGTGGAAGTGTTCATCAACTAACTTGAAATGGTTGTGTTCCAGCTACCTTGGGTGTTGAGGTCCATCCCCTTGTGTTCCATACCAACAGAGGGCCTATTAAGTTCAACGTGTGGGACACAGCTGGTCAGGAGAAATTTGGTGGACTGAGAGACGGCTATTATATCCAAGGTAGGTGGCTGATTTGTAGCTTCGTCTCCACGGTTGCTTAAAAGTGATCAGGTCTGTTTCAGTAAACACATGGCCTAACACTAAGCTGGGGATTGTGTAAGTCACTTGGATTCAAAGGATGTGCTGCCTCCAGGGAGTTGGTCGTTTGAGGGGGAGAAGATTTTGTAAAGGTTGTCTTGTGCCATTTGATTGCATGCTTGTGTCATGATAGGCACTCTTTTGAAAAAGACTCTGTTGAGGTTCATAAAAACCAAGCGATAGACAAGCTGTTGCTGCAGCTTCACTGAGAACTTAAGTTTGGAAGTATTTTGGTAGTCATCAATAATTATTTCCCACGCACTCCATTAAAAAGGTAGTGAACAGTTTAGACCAGGTACTGGACCAGAGGAGCCAAGTTTTCTATCTTATAAATGTTGTGGAAGACAAGCTCATTTCTTTTTAATTGTGCTGGGTTTTGTAGAATATTTTTTCAAGGTGCTTGATTTTAAAATGTGCACACAAAATAAATGCTTACTGTTACATTTATCAAAAAGATAAAGTTCTTATCTGGAATCTTGCTCTTTTGATGAAAATTGTTGCGTATGTTTCCATGTCTTCTGCTTTCCTTGAGCACATACAAATGCAAGGATTCCACCCTCGTCCCCAGTTCCAAAGTGTTTAGCTAAGAATCTCTGTAACTTACTGTACATACTCATTGGCTTACTAGCTTTATCGTGACTGTTCGTAGAGGTCAACATATATAAACTTAACTAAGTCTTTCAAAAAGGGACAGTATATCTTAGTATATTCAAGCATTTAAGAATCTTTTAAAGAGTAGTTTACTAGACCCTCAGAATATGTTTATGTGAGGTAAGTCTGTGGAATGCTGATTTATCATTCACCTATTTTAGATACTTTTTTGGGGGTGAGGCAGAATTTATGATGACGTATTACAGGGATTTCATAGGGTAAGCTGGTCCTTCATGCTGTCATGTAAAGTAAAAGGAAATTTTAAATGACGTTCAAATGACTTCAGATTTTTAAAATTGGTAGAGACATATAGCTGACTAGAGTTAGGCCTGAGATTATAAATCTGAGTCCCTGATTCTTAGCATCTTCATCCATGGAGTAAATACCTAGGTGTGGATTAATGACTGAACGTTTCTTTTAGCTCAGTGTGCCATTATAATGTTTGATGTAACATCGAGAGTTACTTACAAGAATGTGCCGAACTGGCATAGAGACCTGGTGCGAGTGTGTGAAAACATCCCCATTGTGTTGTGTGGCAACAAAGTGGATATTAAGGACAGAAAAGTTAAGGCAAAATCAATTGTCTTTCACCGAAAGAAGAATCTTCAGGTATGTTTCTTAAAACTTACTGAATTACGACCCTTAGATAAAACCGTGAGACACGCTTATTTATAGTGATTGATAAACATATTTTACTTTTCTTTTGAACAGTACTATGACATTTCTGCCAAAAGTAACTACAACTTTGAAAAGCCCTTCCTCTGGCTTGCTAGAAAACTGATCGGAGACCCGAACTTGGAGTTCGTCGCCATGCCTGCTCTGGCCCCGCCGGAGGTGGTCATGGACCCAGCCCTGGCCGCGCAGTATGAGCACGATCTAGAGGTAGGCTGTCTGTGTTTCAGTGGTGCTGTTGCGTCTTTGTGGTTCCATCCGGAGTGTTACACCTGTTTCATCTCTCTCTCCAGGTTGCA